AGGGGAACCACCAGCGGACGACCACCACCGTTACTCTAACGCCCACGTTTCTTAGCGTGGCTGCCAAAAGTTGGCCTGGAATTGGTCGTTCCATGTTCAATCGTGTTTCTTTTTCTTTTTTTTACGCTCATTTTTCCTTTAATTTTCATTTTGGGAACGGATATGCGGATTTCGTTTCATTTGGTTTTATTTAGGTTTAGTTGTTGTGTTTACTAGGAAGATATGTTTAGAGAAATAGAGGGGATAAATATATCAATTATTTATTGTTATATTTAAAAATATTGATATTGAATTGAATTTGAAAAATATTTAAGTTATTATTGTATTGAAAAAAATATTGATATTAGTTTAAAGATTTGATTTATTTTCAATTTTATTGCTTCATTTCTTTCATATTTAAAAATCTCTTTTTCTTGTTTTTTGTCTTTTACAAAATATTTTAGGCTTGAAGAAGTAGATATTGTTATTATTGGATTCCAGCCAGCAATTTCCTTGATGCAAAATTAAATCTTATTTTAAGCTGTCACTTGCATATTGCATATTGTTTAACGTTGTATATCGCATTTTGCGTAATTCTAACTTATCATATTGTTCCAAATATTTGATATCAATATTTTCGCGTTTTATTAAAATAAATTCTAGCAAGTACATGTGTACTTTTTTTCAAATATAATATGCTCTCGTTAAAAATAATATTTCAAATTTAAAAGAAACATATTTCTTCTTAAATGTTTATTTAAAATCTAGTTAATTACGTTCCTCTTCCTTCGTTCCTCTTCCTTCCTTTAAAATATTTATCTGATAATATTCTTTAAAAATTGATTCGAAAATGAACATAATTTTCTTTCGTTTTCCAAAATTTGTTTAAAATTTAATCGAATAACGAGAATTGAAAATTTTCTATCTCACGAAAACTGAATTTCGAATAAAGATATTTCAAGCTCAACAGGTGTACGATCCCCAATCGAAAATGATGACACGTAAAATTATCCTAAGACTCGTAGTAGGGTAATAGACAAATGGAATCAGAATGGTTTCTAGCATTTCACGTCTGGCCGTTCGTGGAATTATTCGACCAACGTTCGACCTCTGCAACAGTCGTCTCACATCGTATACCGATTTAGATATGCCGTACTTGAAAAGCAGCAGGGTCATCGGTTCCTCTAGCGGATCGATGAGGGAGAGTCGTTGACATGTTCGAATCTATAAGTACGTGGGTGTCGAGAAAACGAAACAATCGCGATACGTCATCGACCTGCGCCATATCGAAGCCAAAAATCATTTTAGAATCGTCGAATCATCCGCAACTATTTTTAAGCAACTACTCACCGCATTAGGAATACGTTTTATAATATTACAAGTATCAGAATCGTATCAGAAACGAATTGTTTTATAAATAACAAATATGTACAGCAGATGGAAAGAGGTTGATTGATTGATTCAACAGGTAAACGATGAATTCTTGATGCATAATCGTTATTAGTGGGGTAAATTGTTGATAATCTCGCGCATTCGCGATTAAACGTTAAGCTTTTCGCCATTTACACTCGATGCATCGTTGTTTATACAACGATTATTACAACAATATTTAACGAGAATACCAAACGTGTTTTCATCGATAGAATTGCGGTGAAATTTGTTTAAAATTCCATTTACAAGGGAAGATTAAATGACTATATTTTTGATGATATAAGCGAAGTTATCGGTGGATGCCAATTCGTGTTGATTTATTTGTTTGTTTATGAACTGTGTCTTAAGCTGATCGGATATTAGGGATTGAGTAATATAGAGAATTAATAATAGAATTTATTTTTATACTCTTGTATTATTCTCTAAAATATTTAATGAATTAATAGTATAAATATATATATTTATAAGAATAAATGATCTAGAATTATATATATATATGATTTTAGAATTATTAATTCATTAAATATTGTTGAAGATAGCAATTTGTAACAATTAGGAGATAATAATTTTGATGAAAGAGATGAAATAATATATAGAACAAAATATTAATATGTACTTATAATTAAAATAATTTCATAGATCTAAAAGGTTGCCTTGAAAAGGAAAATCAAAATCACGAAAAGCAGAAAGAGAAAATTGAATCTTTTTTCCCTCTTTAATCATTTTTCCTCCTAATTTGAATTAATAATAGATCTTTAAATATTACAATCTGCATAATAACAAAATATATTTCTTATTAATTTTATATTATAAACATATCAACGTTATTCTATTTGTACCGATATCGTTGTACTCGATCGTTTACCCATTCTACTAGTCGGCCGTCTGAAACAGGAGCTTCCCATTCTACTAGCGTTTCCCTCACCATCGCCGTGAATACCATCCGTATTTATATCTTATAATTCATTTTCCTTCAGTCGAAACAACAAGGGACAACCGAACCTCTCATTTTCCTTCTATATCCTCAAATTCAAATCCTTTTTCACCATCATACATAAGATCATCATTCACCCATCACTTTCGTCCAATCAAAAATAACGAATAAAAATTCGTTTAAAAAGAAAATAACTCGAAGAATTTTTCGCAAAATGAAACTTTCAATTTTCACCAAAATTTCCTCGATCCCCTCCCCCACTCCTGTCGAGTGTCTATAAAAGGTCGGCGGGCAATGGTGGGCAAAGATGTTCGTTCGGCCTAGCCGGGAGCTCACCAAGTAATTTGAGATTGGCCCCTTCTCTTTGTACGTCCTCTTCATCACCTTGCTCCCACTCCGCTCGATCGCAGAGCCACGTGGCTCCGTCTAGCGGAGAATTTCTGCTACCATCGTGAAAAGCACATCGGAAGAGTTTGGACCAGAATAACTGCCTCTTTCTTTCTTTCTTTTTCTCACCGTCGCGTGACTTTTTACCCCCTCTGGTCACTCTTCTACACGAAAGGCAGTTCCAAAAGTTTTCTTGACCGCTTATATATCATCTATTGCGTCCAAATCTTTTCGTATCCGTGTTTCCGATCCGTGTTGGCATGTTTCGACGGATATGCGGCCACGACACGGCCTACCTACTGTTCCGGTTTGAGTTGATTATGTTTACAGAGGCGGTGAAAGTCATGGGAAAAGAATTGAGAACATTTTTTGAGAGGAAGATATGATTTTTTTAAATTTTAAAAGTATTTTCTATTTTTATTTTTTTGAAGAGAGAAGACAAGAGATGAGTCAAAAATGGTTTGGAATTGAATTCGCATGGAATTTATTTTTAGAATTAAATTTAATAAAATATATAATTCATCATAGTTGGTATTTTTGAAGATAATAGATAGGATTTTTTTTTTTAATTTTGAATGTATTTTGGATATGAATAATTTGATATGTCAAGAATAATTTAGAAAGCAATTTATTTTTAATTTACTGGAAATTAGCTTTTATGTGTAATTTATTAGATTTTTTGTTAGTTGAGTTAGAAGAATAGAATTAAAAGAACGATGAGAGATTTTTGCAAATATTAAAAATTATTTTTTGAACTGTTTTAAGTATTGATCAGAATATTTTGTTAGATTGACGATAATAAAAGTCTTTTTATTTGTGGAACATGAATATTAAGAAAAAATATTTTTTTCAATAGATAGACAACTTTTATTTATGAAAAGTATCGAATTAATGATTAAATTCATAATTAATCGAAGGCATTTGTAACATAATATAGATTTAAACTTTAGATTATTATTCGTTCATACAATTCATAATTTTTTGACTCACTTTTCAAGATATTTAGTTTCATCATAAACCTGGTTATGAGTTAGCCTTCAAACAGTCGTTGTACTGTGGCAAGGAATTGTTACTAAAATATAATTGTTGCTATACTCGATAGAGGCTGAAAACTAAGCGAGATCAAAACTGGGACACGTAGTTTTCAAAGCATACAAAATATAATAAACAAGTTTCTGCCTATTGTCAATTTCACTGTTTTCGTGTAAAAAAAAAAAAAAAAGAAAATAAATCATACATAAAAAAAAATTAAAATGCTAATATTAAGAAAATAATTTCTAGATTATTACTGAGCAAATATTTTTATTATAAATTATAGATTCCTATTTCTAATGACAAATTTAACTTCTTAGTTTATTTTATATCTTAATATTTTTAATTTTTAGTTTTTAGTTTCACAAATTTTTATTATCGTCAATCTAACAAAACATTCTGATCAATAATTAAAATAAGGTAATTTTTATAAATTTGGAAATAAAGATTCAAATGGAATATAATTCAATTATGGAATTTCAAGTTTCAAATGAACATACTTTCACAAATTTGTCTGTCGACGCTTCAAGATTTAATAGAAATTTCTAAACAAATTTCAGAAAATTATTTAGAGAAACGATTTTAGATGTTTTCAACAGTGTGATATATATCAAGCTGAATGAAATCATTAGAATTTTTTTTGGTCACCATTCGAAAATCTAGTCAGATATTAATTTTAAATGTTTGCAAATATCTCATTTTGGTTATGTTAATGATTAAAAGTAATTATGATAATGAAATTAATTTCTAATATGCAAACCATGTTTTTTTTAAAAAACATAAAAGTTTATAAATTTATTTACAATCTTAAAATCTTATAAACGAAAGTTTTTTATGAATGCATGACGAATTAAACATTTTTAGTAGAATATTATTTAAAATGAATCTTTAAATTTTATCTTTAAGGATATAATCTGAAATATATCTATATGTTCGTTTGTAATGGTGTTTGAGTTGTCGGATGAGCACACTGCCCCAATTTTCTAAATATATCTACCCGCGGATTCACTCTCTCATTCGGTTTAATTCCCTTAAGAATCGCAGGTTGAAAGTTCTTGACTTCTGAATCGTATATTCAACATTTCTACACAACAAAATCTTTCAGAAAACATTGATTTACTTGAATCAATGATACTCGAATTTTTTGATACTCGAAAATTAATATTTGGTTTGCTCATTAGGAATAATCAAATGATCACTATTTAGAAATTTTCTTTTTATTTATTTTAAAAAAAATTATATTATATAATTACATATTTCTTACATAAAATTTATTTCTTATATTAAAATAATTTATTATTTGTATTTAATTTACAAATAACTACTTCGTTTCTTTTTCGTAATATTAGTATTAATATTATACGTGTATAACACACATATTGTATTTTTAAAAATATTCTAGAGCAAGAGTTCAAATATTCAACTCACGTTTATACCCATTGCTATATCTATAATTACAGGCATCGATCAGGCAACAGGTGGACTCTAGAATTCTAGCTTGCTAGAAATCTCGATAACGATTCTGTGGTTGAATTAGTTTCTCAAAGTTTTGAATTACCTGCCCGAACGATTTATTTTAGGAATGAATCAGTTCTGTTGCATTTCCGAGCATTTATCGTAAATTACAGGGTATCGACGCAAGATATTCAGGTCGGCAATGATCATTAACTCGCTCTGTTTCGGGCACAATACCATTTCCGAGAATACTTTACCAACTGTAAACAATACGATTCAAACGTTGTAAATAGAAATCATTTTGATCACAAAACAATTTGTAATTTTTGTATACATTTCATACATATGATATTAAAAAATATATAAGATCTTTGGAGGATTGATTCTAAATATTAAAAATAAAAGATACATATCATTATGACATTATTACACATGTACAAATCAGGTTTATTTTTGGATATATATGTAAGAAATAAATCTATTGAGAGGAATTTTTACTTATAATAATATTGTAGTATAGTATAAATTATGGTGGATATATATCAATAATCATTTTTAAAGTATAGGGTGTGTAGGGTAATTCCATTTGAAATAGGATCTTATATATGGAGTTCATGTTAATAATAGAAGATATAACAATTTTTTGATTTTGATAAAATTTATCTTGGGACATATTGTCTTAATAATTTTGAGGTGGATATATCTTTACGTAAACGAACTCATTTGTTCGTTTTCTTAAATTCCTCCTATTTGTTTCTCTATTTCAAGTAGCGAATGATCATAAAATACTCTACCTGCATTTGAAACGCAATTTTGCTATTTTCAGTAATAGCTCTTAAAATATTGTTGGTAGCATCTTCTGGCTTTTCTCTTGGTTTATCTTTGAATGAAAAATCACTGGCCTGGAATATCACAAGCCACCAAATTATCTTAACATTTACATGATCTTTTTCAAATGCTAAATTTATGTTTTCACCAACTTTTGCGTCACATTTTTCAAATTTCAATTAATTTAAACAAATCATTTATTAATAATATTCTAGTATTTCTATCATAAATTTTATTTGAATATTTAGTCTTATTTTTATTTAGTATATTAGTTATTCCAAAAAAAATTCTTTGTCACGAATTATTATGATTAGCATGAATAATAAAAACTATTTTTTAATAAATGCTATTGATATGTCAAATTCAAATTTTTGTGAGATATTTTAATATTCGTATATACATCAGATTGCTATTCGTATCTGCGAAATTGGAAATACTATGAAGTTGTTGTTGCAAAGTGGAAATATGAAAGGCGATACACATAGGTCGGTATCGCCTACTCAAATTTACTGCCGTGCTACTTTCTGATCAGTTATTTTAAACCGAATCCGAATTCTGCTTGGAATGATAAGTTTGAAGATCTGAAGTAAAAGATTCAATTTATCGTTCAACAAGAATGTCTTCTTTGTTTTGAATATCAGATATAATTGAGCAATTAGAAGAAGATATTAACAATTTCTTTATTTTCAATTCCAAGTAATGATGATGTAATATTACATCATCATTAATATTCATCATTAGTATTCGAATACATATTTTCTTTTATTATTTAATTCTCTCTATTATTTTTTAATTTTTTTTTCTTTTATTTTTTATTCTTTTTTTATTACTAAATGTGTTTGAATAATTAATAACGGATATTAAAATTATATTTTCTATTTTTCTTCTATTAAATCATTCTATCAATCATATTATTAAAAAATTGCACGATATTCAAGAAAATATTCTTAAAATACGTAATGTTTCAAGTGCTAACAGACAAGACAATACGAATCACATAAACATAAATGTTTTATGGGAAATATTTACAGAAAGTGACGCACATCAAGAAGAATTCGCTTTTTGGCAGCGATTTCCTCGAATTTACGAATAAAAAAAGAATATATAAGTATTTGAAAATATTGGGGTAATCGATAAACACTTCGTTACGACTTCCGCTTCGTGACAACGGAAGAAATGTTGACTCATGGTTCGAAATCATCAAGAAAAATTTTGGCCGATGTTTTTCGGTATTACCGAGAGAAACTCGTGATGACTAACTCGCTCTATTCTTGTCCAAACGTTATACACTTGTATCCAATGGGAAAGTGGGCTAGGACGTATGAAATATCAATCCCTCCTCGGTCTCGTGTTAAATTCTCCATAATGTTTCTTTGGTTTCCGCCTTGGTACTTTTTTTTTCCTTTATTATATCAGATTTTATTTTCATTGTTTCGTTTTCTTTTATTATTTTGTATCCTTGAGACTATCGAAAGATTATTTGATCTTTGCTCGATCATTAAACATAGGAATTTTTATTTGTTTAGAATTTGTTTATTTTTTATGGTTTGTTTTTTATAATGAAGAGAACTTTTAGATGTAGCCAATTCCATATTTCATTAATATTATGCGTGTATAATAAAATTACATTATACTTTTAATAAAATAATCGATTATTAAATCAATAAGATATCAAACAACATCACAGAGAAATTTCGAAATCATTCTATTAAAAATCAATTCTTATCTATGATATCTATCAACGGTAATCAATGAATTCATTCAATTCTCCTTTTCACATCTTCAAAATTCTACAGATACTGAACTTTTTATTTTTCTTCTTTCGTTATCTCATACGATCCAATCGATATTACTTTTCGTTCGATTCTATTCGAATATCAGAAACATCGGTGACGAAGTGTCATCATCTATTTCTCCATGAAGATCGAAAGTGATCGTGACGTGGTTGTCTTCGTTTCTCGAGTGGTTGCTAGCCGATATTTTTATTGCCTGTTCACCGTGTATTTATACACTTGTGCTTCTATATCGGGAACGAAAATATTTCTAGATGGATTCGTGAAGAGTGAACCGATGCAACCAACATCTCTGCCTTCCGCGATTTGGTCGGCCTGATTGAGATTAATCGGTGACACCACTCGCACGACCACAGTTCATTTTCACTGCCACCGGAAGATTTGACACGATTTGTCAAAGTCGTTACTGCGATTCTGACATGGATCGGTTTAGATTTGACCTATCATCTGCGATTGGAATGGAGGCAGATAAAAGAAGAGAAGTTGAGAAGCGTGAAAAAGTGTTTAGATGCTTGTTTTATATAGATGTTGATTATTTTTAAATTAAGATATTAATAGACGTAATAAGCGAATAGAAAGTGTAAAATGAAACATAGGTAAATAGTTTTGCCAATCTTTTTCGAAAAAGCTCTCGAAAGCTCTACTGTGGCGCCATCGATGTCGAGAGCCACGAATTCAAGTTCCTAGAAGTTTCGATGGAACCTCTACCGATAACTTAACTTTGTCGATCCTTGCTTTTCGGCTACTGGATATGTTGATTACTGTTCACGTTGTTCTTAGTTCGTTTTAATGAACATCGAAAGTTGGCAGCACGAAATCTGATTCGCAAATTGTATAAATTCTTGGGGAAGAATTATGAAGGATTAAGAGAAATTTAATATATTGTTTAGATTTTATATTAAAAGAAAGAAGTCTATAAATATTCTAATATTTTTCATCAGAAATATTATTGTCTGTGATTATTTATTTGCGATTCATCAAAATTTAATTATCGAATGCCATGATGAATCTCATATTCTTTACTTTTTCAAATCTTATTTACTCCCTTTTTATCCTATCGTTGTTTTTTCATCTTTCTCTCCATCCGTTCATCTCTATTTTTTGCTTATTGTAATAAAATTTTTTCGATCAAATTGAGTAAATAAAATAAAAACATATTCACATATAAAATTATCACTCAAGTTATAAACGATAAA